GCCTTCTCATGTCTGCATTCGCAGGGAGGTGGACTTTGGAGTCAGAGCTGGGAATCGAACCCCGATTCTCACATACGGGATACAGGCAGCCTTAATCGTTATGCCACATACCCACTTTGCACCTTGCTTTCTAAATATAGCACCAAAAGGTTCCATGGTTCCTTGGAGGAATGGCCAATTCAAGGGCTAGGGCAGGGACATGGTAAAAGGAGAGTCTGGAATATCATCTTACAATGAAACTGGTTTTTTAAAATGACAAGGGCATGTCAAAGGATACAGCAGACATCCAGCTGCGACATCAGTGGATTACAAGCCGCTGAATAAAAGAACCCATGAGTCAATCCTGATCAGAACAAAGAGAGAAGAAAAAGAAAAAAAAATAAACGGAGCAGAAAAGGTGGAACGACCTCACTGCCCACCAGTGGAGGAGCAGTTTGAAAACCTGGGGTATGCATGCAATGAGATGCGACTCAGTCTTCAAAAAGAACAGGAAACTTTGACACTTGCTACAACAAGAGTGAACCTTGGAGACGTTATGCTCAATGAAACAAGCCAGACATAAAAGGACAAATGTTGTATAATTCCACTTATGTAACGTGCCTAGAATAGTCAAATTCATCGAGAGAAGAAGGAGATACCCTCCTGCTAGCTTAAAAGCAAACAAGTGGCTGCCCCCATCCACCCTTGACCCCAGAAAGCAGCCAGGCAGCCCCGGGAAGCCTCCTGCTGCCCCAGACGCAGGGCGGCAGCACCACTAACACACCCCTGACTTGGGAAGCAAAAGCAATGCTAAATAAGAGTGCTGTGACAGCAGTGTGTGTCTATTTTTTTTAATTTAATTTATTTTTTTGATAGGCAGAGTTAGACAGTGAGAGAGAGAGACAGAGAGAAAGGTCTTCCTTCCTTTGGTTCACCTCCCAAATGGCTGCTATGGCCAGTGCACTGTGCTGATCCAGTGGCAGGAGCCAGGTGCTTCCTCCTGGTCTCCCATGGGGTGCAGGGCCCAAGCACTTGGGCCATCCTCCACTGCACTCCCTGGCCACAGCAGAGTGCTGGACTGGAAGAGGGGCAACCGAGACAGAATCCGGTGCCCCGACTAGGACTAGAACACGGTGTGCTGGCGCCACAGGCAGAGGATTAGCCTAGTGAGCCATGGCGCCAGCCAAGCAGTGTGTGTCTACACTAGAAGAATGCAGATTTCAAATGAACAACATAATGACATAACTCAAGGGACTAGAAAAGCAAGAACAAATCTCATAAAAAAAAAAAAACAGTAAAAGGGAAGAAATAAAGATAAGGACAGAAATCAATGAAACAGGGGCAGGCATTTGGCACAGGGTGAGCGTGTATGCACTCTATATTAACGTGCTGATTTGAGTCCTGACTACTCCACTCATTTAGCTTCTTGCCAAAGTGCATCCTGGGAGGCAGCAGACGTTGGCTCAAGTACTTGGGTCCCTGCCAGCCTCATGGAAGACTCAGACTGAGCTCTGAGCTCCTGACGTTGGTCTTCTTCAGCCCGAGCTGTTATGGGTATTTGAAGAATGAACCACTGGATGGAAAAGCTTGCGTGCTCTCTTTAAGGCTCCTTTGAAATAAAATGAAAAAAAAATTTTTTTTAAAAAGAAATAAATGAAACAGTAAAAAATACGAAAGATTAATAAAATAAAGAGGTGTTTTATTTTTCCAAAGACAAACAAGGGGCCAGCACTGTGGCATAGTGAGTAGTAAAGCCACAGCCTGTGATGCCAGCATATCATATGGGCGCCAGATTTGAGTCCTGGCTGTTCCACTTCCCATCAAACTCCCTGCTAATGCACCTGAGAGAGCAGCAGAGGATGATGGCCCAAATCCTTGGGGCCCTGCACCAAGTGGGAGAGCTGGAAGAAGCTCCTGGCTCTGACTGGCCCTGCTCCAGCCTTTGTGGCCATTTGGGAAGTGAAACAGCGGATGGACGATTCCCTCCCTCTCTTTCTCTTTCTTTCTCTCTCTCTGTCTCTCCCTCTCTCTCTGTAACTCTGCCTTTCAATTAAATATTTTCTTTAAAAAAGATAAAGAACAATGACAAATCTTTGGCCAACATAACCAGGGGAAAAAAAAGGCACCAAATGAATAAAATCAGAGGTAAAAAAGGAGACATTAACATGGATACTAAAGAAGTACAAAGGGCCACTATGGACCATTATGAACAAGTATAAACCAACTTGAAAAACCTAAGAAATGGACAAATTTCTGTACATAACCAAACAAAACTGAATCATAAGGACACAGAAAACCTGAAAATAACAAGTACTGAGAATGAATTAGCAATAAAAATCTCCCGACAAAGACAATCCCAAGACCAGATGTCTTTAGGCTCAATTTTATATAATCTTTAAAGAAGAATTAGCACCAGTACTGGGAATACATCCAAAGGAATCTGAAGCCAGTATGAGCAGAGAGACGTCTGCCCCCACACTTTTCTTACGGAGTTATTCGCAACAGCGAAGACATAGGATCCACCTAGGTATCCTTCTATGCATGAATGGATAAAGAAAATGAGCTGTGTGTGTGTACACAATGGAATATTATTCAGTCATGAAAGTGATGCCATTCTGGCAATGTAGGTGGAACTGGAGCACCTTAAGTGAAATCAATGAGGCTCAGACAAAAAACAAATTCTGTATGTTCTCACTTACATGTGGAAGTCAGAAAGTAGGTTTTACAGAAATAGAGAGTAGAGCAAGTGATTACCAAGGGCTCTGGGCAGCGTGTGGGGGATGGGAGCCATGACCGGAGACTGATTAACGGGCCCAAAGGCGCAGCTAAATGGAAGAATATTTGTAATGTTCCACAGCACGGTAGCTCATCTATAACCAGGCCCACGAGTTTCAAAAAAGAAATTGTGGATCTCCATAAAATCAACCACATCAGATACTGGATGAATATTTCCTGGGCTTTTGTCATCATCTACCAAATGCACAGTTTTGACCTATTTATTAAACATTGCCTGCAGTATTATACTCTCGGGTACTTACCTTCAGATTGACCCATGTTTTCTATCAGTGAAACACTTCGTCTCCACGGCCAAAGCTGAGAGGCCCGCTCTTTGAGAGAGGAAGGTTCCAAAGGACTCCACAAGGGTTACACACACCCTGGCACCAGACTGAGACCGCTGCCTCCCTACAGAGCTCCTGTCGTCTGGTGCACACTGTCTCCAGGACCCACTGTCCTCAGAAGTATTCGTCCCACACCTGGAAGGTGTCACCATCCTGTCACTCAGGATGCGACTCCACGGACACAGGGAGGCTTGTTTGGGGGCAAGGAACATGGCTGTACAAGCGCACAGTACAGCAGCTTCTAGTGACCACCTGTCACATAGGTTCAGCTGAGTTCCCCACTACAACTGTCTCCCATCACATCTGCACAGAGGTCATTGTCAGTACAAGTCTGCAGCCTGCCTCAGTCTCCCCTCAACAAGGGACACCCAGAGGTACCCGGAAAGTAGGCGTGCACACAGATGGACAACCACAAGACGACGGACAGCAAACGGGACCTCCGGCTTTTTACAACTTCAACACCAGCTTCTTAACATCACAGCCTTTTAAGTCAACGGAATATTTACTTGGAAGGAAGTAAGTCCATCTCCCAACGTCCTCTCAATCAGACATCAGTGACACATAGGTTTAAAATAAAATGCAGCAAAAATATGTGGGACAGAAGGTTAAGTTTTCCCTGCAGTAGAATGCGGAGAGCAGATGGTTGTAGAAATTACAGGAAGGAATGCAAAAGGAAAGAGAAGGGTGGGCAGTATTACTGGGCCCCTACTCCTGTATATATGCAGCAATTGAAATCTATTCACCTTAAAAAATAAAAGAACAAAAAAAATTTTAAAAAGACACATTAGAATCTAGCAATCTCCATTTAGCAGGCATTACCCAATCAAAATAGCAACCACACATTCATTAAACCAGGAGATCGAAAACTCTATCAATAGTGAGTGGCAAACAGATGTGACAAGTGCGTAGATGTGGTGGGTTGAGAAGGACTAATGTATTTCTGGGGTGTTCCTGAATCAACCTGTGAAGCATTTCCAGGCCCACGTTGAGGGAGAGGCTACAGAACACCCAGCCTGTATTTTAAAAATGCAGTGAAAGGCGGAGAGAGGCTGCGGGACCCCCTCCAAGTTTCAAAACATGATTATGTGTCCCATACAATGAAGAAAGCCATCAGCGTGATGGAGACCGGCGACAAGAACTCGAACACAGACAGAATAGTAAAAGCATTCTATCAGTGTTAAACTTCCCGATTTTGATTACTAATAGTCAAGAGAATGTCTTGTTCTGTTGTGTGTGTGTTTTTTTTTTTTTTTTTTTTTTTTTTTTTTTTTTTTTTTTTTTGACAGAGTGGACAGTGAGAGAGAGAGACAGGGAGACAGAGAGAAAGGTCTTCCTTTGCCGTTGGTTCACCCTCCAATGGCCACTGCGGCCAGCGCACCGCGCCGATCTGAAGCCAGGAGCCAGGTACTTCTCCTGGTCTCCAGTGGGGTGCAGGGCCCAAGGACCTGGGCCATCCTCCACTGCCTTCCCAGGCCACAGCAGAGAGCTGGCCTGGAAGAGGGGCAACCGGGACAGAATCCGGTGCCCCGACAGGGACTAGAACCCGGGGTGCCGGCGCCGCAAGGCGGAGGATTAGCCTAGTGAGCCGCGGCGCTGGCTGTTGTGCTTTGTTTTTCAGGAAATACACGGCTGTGTGCTAACAGGGGCGAAGACACGCCGTCTCAGACCTACTCCCGAACGCTTCAGTATGGACACACGGTGCGAGCAGCGGTAACTGGGAGCTGTTTGACAGCTCCTGGGACTTTGCTGGAACTGGAGTGAGCCCCCGGGCGCAGAGGGCGGCCCCGGGCCCCGTGTCGGTGCAGAGGGCGGCCCCGGGCCCCGTGTTGGCGCAGAGGGCGGCCCCGGGCCCCCGTGTTGGCGCAGAGGGCGGCCCCGGGCCCCGTGTCGGCGCGCACTCACCAGCCGCCTGAGAATCCTCAGCAGCAGCTTCTGCTCCTTCGGGTCCTCCTTGGCTAACAGGAGCTCAGCGAAACTCTCTGCGTTTTCGGGAGACAGGCTGTCGGGGTTTTCCCCGCCGTACAGCTGAACCAGGATAGACAGGCACTTGGACGACATCTCGAAAATCTCAGGATCCTCACTGGGAAGCTGGAAACGAACAAACAGGACTTGTGAATTCCACTGAAGACGGCGCCCGCCGGTACCTCCCAGGGAGTCTGCTACAACTTGACCTAATGATGGGAGTCTGATTAATCAACTGTTTCAAAGTCCACTTATTTACTTAATTTATTTATTTGAAAGGGTGGGAGAGGGAATGCGCAAGGAGGTGGGAGAGAGAGAGAAACAAAGATTGATCGATTGATTTAATTTGCTACTTCTTCACACTCCAAATGCCTGGGCTGGGCCAGAAGCCAGGCAGAGTGCAGTTCAGGCCTCCCCCGGAGGTGCAGGGGCACAAGCAGCTGAGCCGCCACTTGCTGCCTCCCCAAGGTGCACACTGGCAGGAAGCTGGAATCAGAAGTAAAACTGAAACCTGAAGCTAGGCGTTCTGTGTGGGATGTGGGTATCCCACGTGGTATCTTAACAGTTCTGCCAAATGCCTACCCAAAATATATATATTTTTAATGCATGCTTCCCAAGTGTGTATGTTAGCTCAAACAAGGCTAATGACACTCAGTCAGAAGCAGGTTCTGCAGTCCTTTCTTTAACTGATAGCCAAGAATGGCTTGTAACTAGCAAAAGGCAAATTTTATATGCGTATCTAACATTTGCATATATACATATATACATACAAGGGTTTGTGTGTGTGTGTGTGTGTGTGTGTGAGTGGGTGTTCACACAGTCTGATTCTCTGGAGGCATTTCCTTTGCATTCTTGCTTACCAGTAACTCATTTAAGAAAAATCCACTTCCCAGCGGACACTGGAGAACACCTGGGTTTTATTTGTGTCCAAATCATCATTGACTACACAGGAAAGAAAGCATTCTTTCTCTACGCATTAACATGGGTAAGATGAAATCATAATCATACTCTGACCACCTGACCACCATAAAGTTTATCTGTAAGAGCTTTATTGAGGTGTCATTTCAGTACATTTCACTCGCAGCACAGAAGTCAATGGCTTTTAGTCATATTCACAGTCACGTAACCAGCACTCCACAAAGAAACCCTATACCCTGCAGTAGTCACCTTGTTACGCCCAGAGGCCCTGTGCTCATCTGCCTCCTCACTCTGGGAATTCACCTATTCTGCACATTGGAGACTCGGAATTGGGCAAAATGCAATCATTTGTCAACAGCATCTTTGACCCACTCATTGCGTTTCCAAGGTGCACCCGTGTCGTATTATGTTTAAGTAGTTTTTAAAATCATGTGGCTAAAACTACCATTCTACTCTATCACATTTTGCTCACCCTCGTATCCACTGACAGACATTGAGAAAGTCTTCATGTGTTGGCTACTGTGAACGACGCTGCTATGAACGTATGTGTACCAGTTTTGTGGGCAGACGCGCATTCTTGTTTCTTGGGGATATGTGCCTAGGAGTGGAAGTACTCAGCTCCGTGTGGACGCTGCAAAAAGCTCACACCAAACAGAATTAAACCTGTCTTCGGGCAGCTGGCATTGTGGAGTAGCGGTAAAGCTGCTGTGACACTGGTATCCCAGCCGCTCCACTTCTGATCCACCTCCCTGCTATGCTCCTGGGAAAGCAGCAGCAGATGGCCCTGGTGTGTGGACCCCTATCACCTACCTGAGAGACCCAGATGAAGCTCCCAGCTGCAGCATGGCTCAGCTCCGGCATCTGTGGCCACTGCCGGTGAAAACCAGCAGATGGAAGATCTCTGTCTCTCCATGTCTGTAACTCTGACTTTCAAATATACACAATAAATCTTTTTTAAAAAGTTTATTGTGAAGCAAAAAACTTTGAAATCTATGCATTAGGGTCCTCAAAATGTTCACAGAAAATGTGTATGATGAAAAAAATTAGATAGGCTTTCCAATTCTTTTGCACTTAACGAGCTCATATTTGAATTCTGTTTTCCATGAACTTTCTGGAGTCCCCTGATATAGTAACTCTATTTTTAACCTTCTGAGGAGCTGCCCACCTGTTTTCTTTCTTTTTTTTTTTTTTTAAGATTTATTTATTTTACTTGAAAGAGTTACAGAGAGAGAGGAGAGGCAGAGAGAGAGAAAGGTCATCCAACTGCTGGTTCACTCCCCAGATGGCCACGACGGCCGGCGCTGTGCCGATCCGAAGCAGGAGCCAGGAGCCAGGAGCTTCTTCTGGGACTCCCACGTGGGGGTAGGGGTCCAAGGACTTGGGCCATCTTCTGCTGCTTCCCCAGGCCACAGCAGAGAGCTGGATCAGAAGTGGAGCAGCCAGGACTTGAACCTCCCAGCACTGCAGGTGGTGGCCCTACCAGCTAGGCCACAGTGGTGGCCCCACCACCTTTTTTCAAAGGTGTCCTTCATACCAGTGACATATGAGGGTTTCGGTTCCCCCACTTCCACACTAACACTTGTTAATACCCCTCTTTTTAAGTACAGTCATCCTAGTAGGGTGGAGGGGTAATGTAGTGTGTGTACTTGCCTGGTGACTGCTCATATTCCCCATTTTTTATTGTGCTTATTGGTCATTTGTACGTTGTCTTTAGAGAAATGTTTGTGTGCACGCTTTGCCCATTTTAAAAATAGGTCATCTGTCTTTTTAATACTGAGACTTAAGAGTTTTTAAGTTTTAAATACAATTGCCCTAGCATATACATAATTTTCAATTTTAAATTCTCCTGTCTTCTTTTACTTTCTTAATTAACTTATATAAAGGGAACAGATTTCATTTATTTTATATATATGGTTTTAAGTTTTACCCTCCCTCTTCTTTCCTTTCTTGCTTTTCTTTTAGGTTTTTTTTTTTTTTTTTTTTTTTTTTGGACAGGCAGAGTTAGACAGTGAGAGAGAGACAGAGAGAAAGGTCTTCCTTCCGTTAGTTCACCCCCCAAATGGCCGCCATGGCTGGCGCACTACGCGGATCCGAAGCCAGGATCCAGGTACTTCCTCCTAGCCTCCCATGCGGGTACAGGGCCCAAGGACTTGGGCCATCCTCCACTGCCCTCCCGGGCCACAGCAGAGAGCTGGCCTGGAAGAGGAGCAATCGGGACAGAATCCGGCACCCCAACCGGGGCTAGAACCCAGGGTGCCAGCGCCACAGGCAGAGGATTAGCCTAGTGAGCTGTGGCGCTGGCCCTTTTAGCTTTTGTGTTGATATTTTTTCAACTTGCTTTGAAGTCACAAGCTTCATCCTCCACTGAAAAAAGAATTCCATAACTAGTAAGTAGAAAGACCACCTGTTCCTCAGGAGTGCAGATACGGATTATAAACAGTCAACAAATCGCGAAATGTCAATTTCATTGAAGTACATTACATTTTTTGGAATCTGTATCTTATTTACCACAAATCAGGTAAAGCCCATGATTGTTGTCTTTTAAAGACTGGGTTATTATTAATTAATAATTAATTGCATTCATTTTGTTGCAAAAGATTTCATTCTTTTTTTTTTAAAGCTGAATAGTATTCCATAAAGTAGATACACCACAACTTCTTTATCTAGTCATGAGCTGATGGACATCTGGGTTGATTACATATCTTAGCTATTGTGAACTGAGCTGCTATAAACACGGGGGTATAGAGAACTATTTCATATGTTGATTTCATTTCCTTTGGGTAAATTCCGAGGAGTGGGGTGGCTGAGTCATATGGTACATCTATTTCAGATTTCTGAGGAATCTCCATACTGTCTTCCATAATGGTTATACTAGTTTATATTCCCACCAACAGGGTCCAATTTCACTTTTTGATGTGAATTAATATTTTTTTCCAGTGGTTAAGAAACTATTTTTGTTTAAATTTACATTACATTAAAAAAAAACTTACCATTTTTCCAAATAAGAGGTTTAACAAGTAAAAAGCAGAAAGACCCTAGTTTAGTGTGAATATAGACAATGGCTATAAACAATAATTGAATGTATAAATGACATTTCATCTATATACAGTTTCTTTTTGGTCAATTAATCATTCATAATTTCTTTCAATGAAATACAACCAATGACAACATAAAACAAAAAAGTAATGTATAATAATCGGCATTGCAATCTGCATAAAATTATTCCTGTGCATAAACTGTTGAGGAGAAATGGCTTCAAGTTTAAATAAAGTTGATTATTATAACCACACAGGAAATACTTAGATGTTACATTGTCATGAATCAATATTTTACTTATAGATATTTGTAAGTTGTAAGAAACAGAAAGATCTAGTACATAGTTGACCCAGTTTCCCCCAGTGGAAGCATCTTTTTAATAAATTAGTATACTATCACCAGGAAATAAACCGTGCTACAAGCATGAGCCTTGTTCTGACTTTACCAATTTTATACATGGCGTGTACATGTACATCTGGCTCTATGCAACTTTATCACACTACATTAGTGACAGTCACTACCACAAAGAGACGGAGCTGTTCCCTAAGTATCCCTTTTATAGCAACAGCCGACTGTTGGCCTCCTTCAGCCCTAAAGCTTGGCACTCACTCACCTGCCTGCGCTTTGTCATTTCAAGTGAACTTACCTAAAGGAACCACATGGCACATATGGCTTTCTCCCCTCAGTGTCACGTCTGTGAGATCCATTAGAGTTTCTGTGTATATCAATAGTCCAGTTCTTTTTATTACTGAGAAGCTTTTCATGTTGTAAACTTAACCACACAATGTATTCCCCCATGAAAGGAAATTTGAGTTATCTCCCATTTGGAACTACCCCAAACACAACTACTGTGAATATTTGCACAGATTTTTGTGTGAACATGAGCTTTTATTTCCCTGGGACAAATGCCCAAGAATACAGTTTCTGGTTTGTATGGGGAATTGATGTGTATTTTTATAAGAAACTGCCAAACTCTTCTCCAGAGGGGCTGCCCATCTTACCACTTCGCGTCCCTAACATAACTGTAGAAGGGGTCAGTTTCTCTGCATCTTTGCAAGCACTTGGTAGTATCACTGATTTTTAATTTAGTCTGAGAGGCAGGTGGTGATATTTCATTGTAGTTTTAATTTGTTTTTCCGAATGGCAATTGATAGTGAATATATTGTCACATC